CACGCAAATGTGTACGATCAAGATTAGGGACTCACGGGAAGATATCACAACACAACTCTAGACACAAATTAAAATAATACAAGCTTTATATTACAAGAAGGGGCCTCGAGGGCTCAAATACATCAGCTCGAAAACAAACGAGTCAGCGGAAGCAACAATATCTGAGTACAGACATAAGTTAAACAAGTTTGCCTTAAGAAGGCTAGCAGAAAAGTAGCAACGATCTAAAAGGCAAGGCCTCCTACCTGGGATCCTCCTAAACTACTCCTGGTCGTCGTCAGCGGCCTGCACGTAGTAGTAGGCACCTCCAGTGTAGTAGGAGTCGTCGTCAGCGGTGGCGTATGGCTCCTGGGCTCCATCGTCTAGTCGCAGCAATCGGGTATAGGAAGGGGGGAAAGGGGGAGCAAAGCAACCATGAGTACTCATCCAAAGTACTCGCAAGCAAGGAGCTACACTCCATATGTATGCATTGGTATCAAATGAAATAAGGGTATCATATGTGGACTGAACTGCAGAATGCCGGAATAAGAGGGGGATAGCTAGTCCTATCGAAGACTACCCTTCTGACCACCTCCATCTTGCAGCATGTACAAGAAAGTAGAAGGTGAGTTCACCAAGTATCATCGCATAGCATAATCCTACCCGGCGATCCTCTCCTCATCCCCTGTTAGAGAGCGATCACCGGATTTGTATCTGGCACTTGGAAGGGTGTGTTTTATTTAGTAACCGGTTCTAGTTGTCATAAGGTCAAGGTACAACTCTGGGTCGTCCTTTTACCGAGGGACACGGCTATTCGAATAGATAAACTTCCCTGCAGGGGTGCACCACATTTCCCAACACGCTCGATCCCCTTTGGCCAGACACACTTTCCTGGGTCATGCCCGGCCTCGAATGATCAACACGTCATAGCCCTACCTAGGCACAACAGAGAGGTCAGCATGCCGGTCTAAATCCTATGTCGCAGGGGTCTCGGCCCATCGCCCATTGCACACCTGCACGTTGCAAACGTGGCCGGTAAGTAGACCTAGCCTCCCTAATACAAGAGCAGGCGTTCCAGTCCAATCCGGCGTGCGCCGCTTAGTCGCTGACGTCAAGAAGGCTTCGGCTGATACCACGACGTCGAGTGCCCATAACTGTTCCCGCGTAGTTGGTTAGTGCGTATAGGTCAGTGGCTAGACTCGGATCAAATACTAAGATCTCGTTAAGCGTGTTATTTTGATGTAACCGCGAACACCGACCAGGGCCAGGCCCACCTCTCTCCTAGGTGGTCTCAACCTGCCCTGTCGCTCTGCCACAAAGATCCACCCAGAGGGTCGTCGGGACAAAGGTCCTTTCAGCCCCCAATCCGTGAATCACTCACGGGAACTCTATGAGCCGACCCGTCTTTAGTCATCACATGTATCATGTATAAGATATATAATATATACCCGTGATCACCTCCCTAGTGATCATGACCCGATAGTATAACATGGCAGACGAACAAGAATGTAGGGTCACTTATGATAAACTAGCATCCTATACTAAGCATTTAGGATTGCAGGTAAGGTATCAATAACATTAGCAACTATGAAAGGCTATGCATCAGGATAGGATTAACGGAAAACAGTAACATGCTACACTACTCTAATGCAAGCAGTAGAGAGAAGAATAGGCGATATCTGGTGATCAAGGGGGAGGGCTTGCCTGGTTGTTCTGGCAAGAAGGGTTCATCATCGATGTAGTCGATCACAGGGGTACCGACAGTGGTCTCGGGGTCTATTGGAAAGAAGTAACGGAGGGGAACACAATAAATAACAGAGCAATCAAAGCATCACAAAGCATAACATGGCAATACGCGGTGCTAGAGGTGACCTAATGCAGTACTAGGTGATACCGGCAAAGTGGGGGAAACTTCCGGGAAAGTATTCCCAGTGTTTCGCATTTTCGGACAAATGAACCGGAGAGGGAAAGTTGTGTGTTTGCTATGCTAGGGATGTGGGGCAGACGAACGGACCGCGTATTCGGATCCGTCTCGTCGTTCTGAGCAACTTTCATGTACAAAGTTTTTTCATCGGAGTTACGAATTATTTTATATGACATTTCAAAGATTTAGACATTTTTTGAAATTATTTAATTCGAATTATAAACAGTGACTTTTTTGTCACCTAGCGCTATTCTAGCCACAGTGTATGACAGTGGGGCCAGTGGGGCTGGGTTGACCCAGTCAACATTTGGTCGGTCTACACATGAATAGTGGAAGTGGATCCCACATGTCATAGGCTATACCTAATCAAATAAATAAATACTAACCTAATTAATGGGGTCCACATGTCATCTGCTAGTAGCAATCCTAACTAACTAATTAACCATAAACTAATAGAACGGGGGTAGCCTCACACACCCAGAACACACACGCACGCACACCACACAACACACACATGCACTATGCATCACGCACCAGCACACACATGCACATGGCAATGAACATGGTATGGCCAGGATGCGGCAAGCGTGGCGCAGGTGGTACGACCCGCGGGTACATGCCGTGACGAGCAATGCTGCTAGCAGGCAGCGGCGGCGGCATCGACGACCAAGCGCGGCAGCACCTAGCGACAGCAGCAACCACGCATCGGCATCAGCTTATAAGGAGTAGCAGCAGCCGCAAGCAGCAACAGCTTTAAGCAGCAACATCAACAGCAAAGCAAGGAGCAGCAGCTGCAACAGCACGTACGCGTACGCGGAAGTGGAGCTCCAGCCATGGTGGCGTTCGACACGTAGGGGAACGGATCGAGGGGGGAAGTAGGGGATTCGGCAGAGAAGCTCACGGGGCGGCTCGTGGACATGGTCAAGGCCACCGGGGTGGCCCGTTGGGGTGGCAAACGACGGCGTGATGCGGCGGCCGTGGGCGAAGACGAGGACGATGGCGAGGCTACGGGGCATCCTAGCTCGAGCTCTTCGGCGTGGTGATGGATCCGACCACGACGGAGCCCCCGGACATCTTCGAGCGACGAGGGGAGGCCAGTGGCCGCAGGATCGACAGTGGCGCGTCGGCGACCGTGCTCTGGCGAACGAGACAGAGAGGAAGAGGGGCGAACGAGGGGAGTGGGAGGCGACTAGGGTTTGGAGAGGGGTTACGGGCCGCTTGTAGGTCGCCGTGGATTGACGGATGCTCAGCACGTGGAGATTCCCCACCATGGACGCGCGGGCATCGTCCACGGCGCCTCTGTGAACAGAGGTAGGAGAAAAAGGTGAAGTTGGGCTGGCTGCGATGCAATTTTGCCGGATGGGCCAAGTGCCTAGTAGTTTAGTTTCTTTTATTTTACACTTATGTTTACTGTTTTTCTTTTATAGCTATTGTTTTGTATTTAGTTTAGATATTAAATTATTTTAGTTAAAGTTGAAACTTCCCAAATAATTACCTGCTAATATTTTGGTGTTGTCCAAAAAGTTTGAGTTTATTTGGAAATGTTTGAAAATAGGTTTATATTTAAATGGGCATAATAAGTGTTGCTTGTGCACTTAAATTATGCCTAGGGCAATTTCAAAATCCATTTAATGTTGGTTCCTACATGTTAAATACTTGGTGAATATTTGCAAATCCTTGAACATTTTTATTTGACAGTTTGAAGAAATAAGAATTTGACTTGTTATTTGAAATTTGAATTTGACTCGGATTTTCATCAAGTGGCAAATTGGCTTAATAAAACCTGATGACATTGCACATTTGGGTGAGGTTACTGTACCTTGATTATTGGGGTGTTACGGAAGTCTCATTAATCTCTTCATGCTCGTTCCAAGTTCCAAGTACCTTTTGGCCAAAGAAAAACTTGATTCCTGACACGATTGCCTCTTTATGTTTATATAGATAGATTCTATGGGGTTTTTACTTAGTAAGTCTATTTTGTACAAGAGCCCCTCCTATCTGATAGAAAAGGGTCCCATGATCCCGAGCTGATCTTACCTTGGCTCGCAAACCCCAAGTTTGTCTATGAAGGGCTAATCTAATTGTATTTTTTTCTAGAATGGATTTCTTATGTGGAATACTAATGGATAGGGCTCCATTGCTAAGTGCTACAAGATCTAGTGCACTGGAACTCGTGGTTATGGAACCGAATTCTTTAGTATGGAACATTGTCTTTTCCAAGTAAAAACCCCTAGCATATGAAAGAATGAAAAGGTACTTTCGTTCTTGTGGAATAAGAAGCCCTCGTACCTTAATGAAAGGAAAATCGTAATTTTCGTTAGGTATTTGACCAAATAGGATCGTCCAGTTCCTACAAAACCTATCACTAAAATACCCGATAGGGCTAAGCGGAACGAAAAGGGTTTTCCATGAGAAGGTAAATGAAAACGATTAGTCCCACACGAGGTTTGGGAATAAGTGATTTTCTAATAATGAGCAAGGAATATACGTCTTTCTGCTAAAGAGGATCTATTAAACTCATAATTCATTAGATCCTTGTTGTCAATGCCAACTAGGTATCATAAGGAAATGGATCCCGGTTGTTCAATCCTTTGATAACCAAGGTCATTCTTTGCTAAAGAGAAATGATCACTATGAGTCAGACTCAATAGAATTGGATCCATTCCAAATAGCGAGAATTAGGATTCTTGATCCCTTTCAATCTCTCTTTCAATTCGGGGATCCAGAGAGGTGTTTTCATAGTCATCTCCGAATATTTGCCATCTTGGAATATTTTCGATTTCATTTTTCTATGGTATGTCTTTCTATATGAAAATTGGTTACTTACGATGTACGATGATCCCTGTTAAGCATCCATGGCTGAATGGTTAAAGCGCCCAACTCATAATTGGTAAATTTGCAGGTTCAATTCCTGCTGGATGCACACGAACGGGAACATTCCATAAGTCTATTGGAACTGGCTCTCTATCCATGGAATCTCATCCATCATCCATACATAACGAATTGGTATGGTGTATTCATACCATAACATAAGAACAATAAGAACTCGAATTCTTATCGATACTAGAACTCAAAGAATAGGAGGGAAAGTCGATTTATGGATGGAATCAAATACGCAGTATTTACAGAAAAAAGTCCTCGTTTATTGGGCAAGAATCAATATACTTTTAATGTTGAATCGGGATTCACTAAGACAGAAATAAAGCATTGGGTCGAACTCTTCTTTGGTGTTAAGGTGGTAGCTGTGAATAGCCATCGACTACCTGGAAAAGGTAGAAGAATAGGACCTATTCTGGGCCATACAATGCATTACAAACGTATGATCATTACCCTTCAACCGGGTTATTCTATTCCACTTCTAGATAGAGAAAAAAACTAAAAGAGAATACTTAATAATACGGTGAAACATATATACAAAACACCTATCCCGAGCACACGCAAGGGAACCGTAGACAGGCAAGTGAAATCCAATCCACGAAATAATTTGATCCATGGATGGTACCGTTGTGGTAAAGGTTGTAATTCTAGAGGAATCATTACCGCAAGGCATAGAGTCGGAGGTCATAAGCGCCTATACCGTAAAATAGATTTTCGACGGAATCAAAAAGACATATCTGGTAGAATCATAACCATAGAATACGACCCTAATTGAAATGCATACATTTGTCCCATACACTATGGGGATGGTGAGAACAGATATATTTTACATCCTAGAGGGCTATAATTGGAGATACTATTGTTTCTGGTACAAAAGTTCCTATATCAATGGGAAATGCCCTACCTTTGACTGCGGTTTGAACTATTGATTTACGTAATTGGAAGTAACCAATTAGGTTTATGACAAAACCTAGAAATCGATCACTAATCCAATTTGACTACCTCCATGGGATAGACCTCAACAGAAAACTATTGAGTAACGACAGCAAGTGATTGAGTTCAGTAGTTCCTCATAGAAAATTATTGGCTCTAGAGATATGGTAATAAGGAGAAGACAAAGTTGTTTGAAGCACGCAGAGAACCGGAAGCGCCCCTTGTTTCATAGAGAGGAGGATGGGTTATTCACATTTAATTTGATGGTCAGAGGCAAATTGAAAGATAAGTAGTGGTAATTAAGACCCCCAGGGGAAAATAGGGATGTCTCCTACGTTACCCATAATATGTGGAAGTATCGACGTAATTTCATAGAGTCATTCGATCTGAATGCTACATGTAGAACATAAGCCACATGACGGAACGCAGAAACCTAGGATGTAGAAGATCGTAACATGAGCGATTTGGCAGATTTGGATTCCTTTCCCATATATCCACTCATGTGGTACTTCATCATATGATTCATATAAGATCCATCTGTCTAGAGATCATCATATACATCTAGAAAGCTGTATGCTTTGGAAGAAGCTTGTACAGTTTGGGAAGGGGGTTTTTGAGAGAAAAGAAGAATCTACTTCAACCGATATGCCCTCAGGCACGGCCATGCATAACATAGAAATCACACGTGGAAGAGGTGGGCAATTAGCTAGAGCAGCAGGTGCTATAGCGAAACTCATTGCAAAAGAGGGTAAATCGGCCACTTTAAGATTACTATCTGGGGAGGTCCGTTTAGTATCCCAAAACTGCTTAACAACAGTTGGACAAGTGGGTAATGTTGGGGTGAACCAAAAAAGTTTGGGTAGAGCCGGATCTAAGTGCTGGCTAGGTAAACGCCCCGTAGTAAGAGGGGTAGTTATGAACCCTATGGACCACCCCCATGGGGGCGGTGAAGGGAAAGCTCCCATTGGTAGAAAAAAACCCACAACCCCTTGGGGTTATCCTGCGCTTGGAAGAAGAACTAGGAAAAGGAAAAAAAATATAGCAATAGTTTTATTCTTCGTTGCCGTAAGTAAATATGTAACTAGGAATATGGAAAATTGCATTTTTTGAATTTGCAATAATGCGATGGGCGAACGACGGGAATTGAACCCGCGCATGGTGGATTCACAATCCACTGCCTTGATCCACTTGGCTACGTCCGCCCCTTATCCAGCTAAAGGATTTTTTTTCTTTTTTCCATTGATCATTATTCTATTTATTCTGACCTCCGTACTTTGATCGAGATATTGGACATAGAATGCCACTCTTTAAAAAGGAAAAAAAGAGTAATCAGCTGTGACATGAAAAAAAATGAATCCTTTTGTAGCTCATCATTTATTGGCAAAGATAGAAAAGGTCAATATGAAGAAGGATAAAGAAACAATAGTAACGTGGTCCCAGGCATCTAGCATTCTACCCACAATGGTTGGCCATACAATCGCGATTCATAATGGAAAGGAACATATACCTAGTTACATAACAAATCCTATGGTAGGTCGCAAATTGGGGGAATTCGTGCCTACTCGGCATTTCACGGGTTATGAAAATGCAAGAAAGGATACTAAATCTCGTCGTTAACTGAATTCTGAATAGAAAGATTAAGAAGAAAAAAAGATTCAAAATAAAGACAGAAATACCCAATATCTTGCTAGAACAAGATATTGGGTATTTCTGTCTTTTCTTTCTTTAAAAATTCTTATATGTTAGCGGAAAAACCTTATCCATTAATAGATGAACTTCAACAGCAGCTAAGTCTAGAGGGAAGTTGTGAGCATTACGTTCGTGCATTACTTCCATACCAAGGTTAGCACGGTTGATGATATCATCCCAAGTATTAATAACGTGACCTTGACTATCAACTACATATTGGTTGTGGTTGAAATTGAAACCATTTAGGTTGAAAGCCATAGTACTAATACCTAAAGCAGTGAACCAGATTCCTACCACAGGCCAAGCAGCCAAGAAGAAGTGTAAAGAACAAGAGTTGTTGAAACTAGCATATTGGAAGATTAATCGGCCAAAATAACCATGAGCAGCCACAATATTATAAGTTTCTTCCTCTTGACCAAATTTGTAACCCTCATTAGCAGATTCATTTTCAGTAGTTTCCCTGATTAAACTAGAGGTTACTAAGGAACCATGCATAGCACTGAATAGGGAACCGCCGAATACACTAGCTACACCTAACATGTGGAATGGGTGCATAAGGATGTTGTGCTCTGTCTGGAATACAATCATAAAGTTGAAAGTACCAGAGATTCCTAAAGGCATACCATCAAAAAAGCTTCCTTGACCAATAGGGTAAATCAAGAAAATAGCAGTAGCAGCTGCAACAGGAGCTGAATATGCAACCGCAATCCAAGGACGCATACCCAGACGGAAACTACGTTCCCACTCACGACACATGTAACAAGCTACACCAAGTAAGAAGTGTAGAACAATTAGCTCATAAGGACCACCATTGTATAACCACTCATCAACAGATGCAGCTTCCCAAATTGGATAAAAGTGCAATCCGATCGCCGTAGAAGTAGGGATAATAGCACCAGAGATAATATTGTTTCCATAAAGTAAAGAACCAGAAACAGGCTCACGAATACCATCAATATCTACTGGAGGGGCAGCGATGAAGGCAATAATGAATACAGAAGTTGCGGTCAATAAGGTAGGGATCATCAAAACACTGAACCATCCGATGTAAAGACGACTTTCAGTGCTAGTTATCCAGTTGCAGAAGCGACCCCACAGGCTTATACTTTCGCGTCTATCTAAAATTGCAGTCATGGTAAGATCTTGGTTTATTCAAATTGCAAGGACTCCCAAGCACACGTATTAACTAGAATATAGATAATAGAAGGCTTGTTATTTACCAGTATAGCATAGACTATATACCAATGTCAACCAAGTCAGCCCAAAGATTAGCTATCCATATAACTAAATTAACCAAACCAATAATTTTGTATTTGTAAATGAAGTGAGTCAAAGTTAAAAACTTTGATGGGTCTTTTCTATATGGGTTGCCCGGAACTCGAACCCGGAACTAGTCGGATGGAGTAGATAATTCTTCCTTGTTACAATAGAGAAAAATCCCTCCCCAAATCGTGCTTGCATTTTTCATTGCACACAACTTTCCCTATGTAGCAATAGCCAATTTCTATTCCAAAGAGGAAGTTCTACTAAATTTTTTAATTAGTAAGCTAATTCACCTACTCTTTATTATAATAAAAAGAACATTTCAGAATGAAAAATAGAAAAAAAAATTCTTGATCATTTATCAACCCTTTCCTGTTTCTTAATTTCGTCTAATGATTAATTAAGAGGGTTGACCAGGTCATTGATACGTATAATACCCAAATACCAAATACGCTCAGTGTGTGATCCAAAGAAATAAAAAGAGTTGTTTTGGTGAAAATCACAGAAAAACTTGCTCTTCTTCCATAAAAAATTCTTCTAAAAATGCCGAACCCAATCTTTGCATAAATGTTCGTACCGTGCTTTTATGTTTACGAGCTAAAGTTCTAGCGCATGAAAGTCGAAGTATATACTTTAGTCGATACAAAGTCCGTTTTTTCGAAGATTCACTATGATAATGAAAAAGATTTCTACATATCCGACCAAATCGATCAAGAATATCCCAATCTAATAAATATGTCCAAATGGGTTTATTAATAGGATGCCCTGATCCAGTACAAAATTGAGCTTTTGATAAGTATCCTATGAGGAGAGTGGCGGGGACTATGGTATCGAATTTTTTCATTCGAGTATCTATTAGAAATGAATTATCCAGCATTTGATTCCTTACTAACAAAGAACTTTTTGGTACACTTGAAAGGTACCCCATAAAATCGAAGCAAGAGTTTGCTAATTGGTTTATATGGATTCTTCACGGCTGAGTCCAAAAACAGAAATAATATTGCCAGAAATTGATAAGGTAGCATTTCCATTTCTTCTTCAAAAAAAAGTGCCTTTTGATGCAAGAATTGCCTTTTCCTTGATATCGAACATAATGCATAAGAGGATCCATAAAGAACCATAGGGTTTTCCAAGAAAAACCAGGGTACATTATCCCAAAATGTTCCATCTTCCTAGAAAAGTGGATCCGTTCCAGAAAAGTTCCAGAAGATTCTAATGGTAAGCAAGAAGATTGTTTACAAAGAAACAACAAAAAAAATTCATATTCCGATACATAAGAGTTATATAGGAATCGAAATAGTCTTTTATTTTCTTTTTGAAAAAAAATGGATTTCATTGAAGTAATAAAACTATTCAAATTTAAATAATAGTTGAGAAAGAATCGCAATAAATGCAAAGATGGAACATCTTGGATACGGTATTGAAGGAGTTGAACCAGGATTTCCAAATGGATAGGATAGGGTATTTCTATATGTGATAGATAATCCAAATGCAAAAATTTGTCTTCTAAAAAGGGAAATATTGAATGAATAGAACGTAAATTCTGAAACTTTGGTATTTCTTTTTCTTTCAGACAAAATAATTCTCGTAGCGAGAATGGGATTTCCACAACGATCGCAAACCCTTCAGATAGAATCTGAGAATAAAACTCAGAATAAAAATAATTTTTGTAATCCAATAATCGATCTTGGTTAGGATGATTAACCGAGTTATCCAAAAAATTCTGCTGATAAATTCGAATAATTAAACGTTTCACAAGTAGTGAACTAAATTTCTTGTTATTACAACTAACAACTATTTCCACAGGTTCAGGACCATTTAATCCATAATGGTGGGCAAATGCATAAATATATTCCTGGAAGAGAAGTGGGTAGACAAAGTATTATTGACGAGATTTATGTTTTTTCTGAATACCCTTCTAATTTTTCCATTTGTATTTCTACTTGAATTAGGGAGAAGAAGCATTTCTTGGTTTATCGAATGATGATACATAGTGCAATATGGTCAGAATAGGGTGTTGCATTTTTCATACAAACCCTGGAAAGAAAGGGACTCTAATCCATAGATCTTTTTCTGCTCCTTTTCTACCCAATTAGTTTATGTTTGTTCTAATTAAAAAAGAACAGAACAAGTTTCTTTATTTTTGCAGGCCAATCGCTCTTTTGACTTTGGAATACAGCCTCTTTATCAATATACTGCTTCTTTTACACATTCAATCCATAACATCCCTTATTCAATCCATAATCGAGAATAATAAGGATTTCTAAAAAAATAAAGGGTTCACTCATAGGAAAACCCAACCTTTCCCCGCATCCGGCACTAATCTATTTTTAACGTCTAATTAGAGTGGGGAATCATTCCAATTAGGAAGTTCAGCTCGTTGCTTTTTATTTTACCAGAATTGGAGCCAAGCTCTATCCATTTATTCATTAGACCCAGAAAATCGTAATTTTGGATTCCATTCAAATAAGATTGATTTTATTACGACATGCTATTTTTTCCATTCATTACCATTGAGGATCAGTCGTGGTCTTCTAGACTCTACCAAGAGTCTGGACGAATTTGTTGTTTCATCCAAATGTGTAAAAGATCATAGTCGCACTTAAAAGCCGAGTACTCTACCATTGAGTTAGCAACCCAGATAAAAAAAGGATCTTAGATACGATCAAAATCCAAAAATCAATGGAATTACACCGTGCGCTTCTGTCAAAACATTGAACTAGCAAGACATCAAAAGATTTTTTTTATCGACCATGAAAAACACTCAAATGCCAAAACGAACATGTCCGGTTAAATTCCACTAAACTAAAGTTAAAAAAAGAGCGACCCTAATCACGATGGCCAAATTCTCCTTATTTTTAGCGATTTTTATTAAAAATATATATTGTATTGTATTGTATGAGAATACATGCAAGAGGAACACCCTTATCATTTGACCGAAGTGTAGGTGGAAAAATTGAATATGGAGTGAGGATAAAGAGACCCATCTATCTACAAATACTATTTGTTCAATAGACCTTTGTCAATGGAAATACAATGGTAAGAAAACAAATTAGATAGAAAAAGTAAATAAAATAGGGGCTTATGTTGGATTGGCATGATATAATATAAATCCAAATAGGATTAAAAAAGAGGTAAATTGTGTCTCAATAATTAGACAACTAGGAATACTAATAATCTTCTCATGTCCTACTTTTTGATTCATTTAGTTCTTCGATTAACTCAAAGTTCTTTCTTTTTCTTTAAAGAATTTCGACTTCCTTAAAATATCATAAACAGTTCTTGTTGGTTGAGCACCCTTTTCAAGGAAATAGAGAATAGCTGGAACATTTAAACAAGTTTGATTCTTTATCGGGTCATAAAAACCTACCTTTTGAAGATCTCTTCCTTCTCTTCGAGATCAAACATCAATTACAACGATTCGATAGACAGCTTATTGGGATAGATGTAGATAAACAACGCCCCCCTAGAAACGTATAGGAGGTTTCTCCTCATACGGCTCGAGAAAATGATTCGAATTTCTGTCGATAATAATAGAAATTAGACTATGACGTGCATTAATTTCCTTACAGAAAAAACAAATTTCATTTATATCATGACTCAAGTGGGCTAATTTTTCGTGACAAACTTCGAAGGCAAAATCCTTCCAAAATTTCGGAGTCATCTTTAAACTCTTTTCTTTGTCTCATTTTGAACGAATTGACTTTTATTCCTTATTCTGATCCAACTTTGTTGTTGAGACAATTGAAAATTGTGTTTACTTATTCTAGAATCATTTATCTTTGATTTGTGAAATCCTTGGGTTTAGACATTACTTCGGGAATACCTATTTTTTTTCTTTCAAAAGAGTAGCAACATACCCTTTTTTCTTATTTCCTTCAATAAAGCATTTATCTCTTCTATAGAAATCTAATAAGAGGGATTGATTCAGATATACTTTTATTGGACTTTCTTCTTATTTTAACCTTTCGATTTATTTCTATATTAAGGATAGACTGACAAAGTTGGCCTAATTTATCACTAACCCTAGATTCTTTCCCTTGATAAAAAAATTCTGTCCTCTCGAGCTCCATCGTGTACTATGTTACTTAAACCCAGCGCAAATTTGGTTCGGAACGAATAGAACATGCTATGTCGAGCCAAGAGCATTTTCATTACTATGGAAAATGGTGGATAGAAAAATCCACAATCGATCGTGTCCTTCAAGTCGCACATTGCTTTCTTCCACATTGTTTTAAACGAAGTTTTACCATAACAAACATTCCTCTTTTCATTGCAAAGTGGTATAGAGAATTGAGCCAATATGGATGGAATCATGAATAGTCATTGGTTTAGTTTTTCTATACTAATTAAAACTTGCTATCTATGGAGCAATATGGATAAAAGAAAGTAAGTATTTATCCGGGAAGCCTCCGCCAAGATCCAATTTATTTAAACCCATAGTAAAATTCTATTATATGAATGAAACATAGTTTGAAAAAGACGACTAAAGAAGTTTGCTTAAAACTTATTTATTCTTAAATTTCCACCCTCAACGGATGGCTCGAGATGATCAATCTTGAAGTGAGAAAAGAAGGATTGACTCTTCCTCAATAAATAAACTATCAACCTCCAAAAAAATTTAATTAAATTAATTACTAGAAATTAGAATTCTAGTAGTAATATATTTTTTCAGTACCAAAAACAATTAACTATAATAACTAAATAAACTATTCCAATGAAAAGATTGAAAGTTTTTGGTAGTTATAGAATTCTCATACTTTTTCAACTCGAATACCAAAAGGAAGAAAAAATATGACTAAGTGATTTTATAGTAGAGGCATATCCTGAATGTGCTTGATAGATCCCATTTTTTCATGAAAATAAAGATA